TCAGATTCTTCATTTCTTTGACCTCCCTTTTTTCACAGCATTTCTTTGGCAGAGTTGTTTTGGGTTTTTTATTAGCACCTCACTTACTTTCTTCAATACTTTCTTATAAGCATTTCAAATGCTAAAAACTAGAGCTTCCCTCCAATACTTCTTTAGACTTGTGAGAGAAAAAAGTGCTTATAAACAAGTTGAAGAATAAGCTCTGCCAAACAGTCATTGAGGATCATTAGCTCCCATGCATTTATCAGTCAAATGCATGCACATTTGCTAAAGCCAAGGTATAACACGATAATATTTTCAAATACTTCACAAATGACCCCCTCCATGCCTCTTATCTGCGAAGATATCTTAATCACAAAGGCAGATAAGAAATGTTACAAAATTGTATTGTTTGATGAAGTATTCCATAAGTTGATCAGTACAACCTCCAGTTGAAAGCAAATTTTGGTTCACAAGTTAGAATTACATCATTATTTGTTTCACAAAAAATGTAAAGCTCTAAATGAACAGAAACCTTCTAAAGCTCAGCTAACCCATTGACATATAATTACATTTGACATACAAAAAGCCCATTTTCCATAGCCTCCCCTACCCTCTACTAGACGTACCAAAACATTGAATTCTAATCACCTATGAAAAACAATTTCATAATCAACTGATCCAAAACATTAGAGTAACAAAAGGATCAATGCAAGCAAAATAGAAGTCATTTATAATGTGTAAGGAAGCATAGATAAAAGGAAGTATGGTAATATGTAGCAGTAGGAGCATATATGAATGAATATGGATGAAAATCAGTATGGATGAAAATCCACTGAAGAATTACTAATTTCACAATTATCTTGCTGTAAGGAAAGACCAAATGCTCCACCATCTCAGCTAATGGTTAATCACCCTAGCCCAAAAACTAAAATATCAAGCATTAATTGCAATGCCAATGATTAGCTAACTTATCTAGGGGATGCAGAGCCATTATTTTCCACAGTAAGAACTACAGTAAAAACCAATTGAAAGACAGATGATGAGGGGGCGATAGTTAAAATTCTTGCCACCAGATAACAAGCAAGCCAACAGGTAAAAATCTTGCTGCCAGGTAACAAGCAAGCCAACAAACAAGCCAGCACAAGAGAAATTTTGTCACATTTAATCAGAGGTCAGATTGAAGATGAACAAGATGGAAACATATAAGTTCTTCATACATACAGGTTCTTTACATGAATAAACAGAAGGAGTCACTCCCCCTTCTTCTGTTGCAGGCTTCTCTAATTGGATTAGTAGACACACAGATGCTGACGGAGCATCTAAATAGAAAAGTCCACGAGGTTCTGAAGATACTTTATTAGTCTGTCCAGGTGAATGAGAAAGAGTGGATTTTTAAGTCATCAATATGAAAAACCAAAGCACCAAAGAATTTAATGCTAAATTAGTTTTAAGGCTTACATCCTGCATTTCAGTTGGTAGAATGCTAAAATAGAAATCTTCTGACAATTTTTCTCTTCTCTCCCTATTGTGTAAGCAAATTGTACCATAGAATGGCTCTGAGACAAATAGAGGGAACTAGGTCAGAAATCTTGAAAGTGCAAAAAATAATGAAGTAAAGCAGTATCTTAACATTATAAAGATGCAGCAGCTTGTGGATAACAGGGAAAGAACACTAACCAACGATTCCAGGTTGAAACGCAAGGGGCAGAACTTTTACAGAGATCTTCAATCCACTAAGGCCACCCATCCCCACAGACAAGATATCATAGACTGTGAGAGATTGATCTAAAGCAAACCAATAAATCTCAACATAATTTTAGTAAGGAGCAAGATCCTGAACCTGCCATGGTGTACCACAGGGGTCTCTGGAGTCCTCTGGCCAAATATCATTGACCTCTCATTTTCCCAGTCAAAGGCTGGTTCATAGGCAGGTAGGGGAGATTGGCCAAAACACTAAACATGTCATCAAAATTAAGAAGGAAAAAGAGAGAAATGAACACCTCAAAATAACACTAACCTTAGGCCACGCATTCCTCAATCACTCCGTACCTTGCATTCACCACTTCCTCCACCGCAAGCACCCTCTTGCACCAGAAAACCAAAAAACCACAAAATATTGCCCCCAGAAAGACCCCCCACTTCAGCAAAATCTTCAGAGACTTCAAATCCAGGCCTAAAACCTCACCTTGGTCACCACCCAGATCATTGTTTTCTCACTTAAAGATCTCAGAAGAGCTCCAGTACAACAATGCCAAGTATTCACAATCTCAAAGTGTAAATTCCACCAAAAATGGACGGATTGAAACAATTGGAGACTATACGACATGGAAAGTGACTACTTTTGGATGAAAATTTTATTGAGCATTTCAAATTTCAATTGTGTTGCACGAAACCCAAACACTTGGATCCGGAAATGAAGGGCGGTCGATTGATAACAGCGGATTTAGGTGCCTCAAGCCCCCACAATAGTCATAGCTGAAGGAAAATGTTAAAAATTCGGAAAAAAAATAAAAAAAATAAAAAAAAGGGAAAAAAGAAAAACCAAAACTGTATTCCCTTTCCCAATCCTATTCCTTCTTCCCGTTGGAATTGAGCATGCTAGGTGACGAGGTAAAAACAGAGGTTGAGGGAAAATAGGATGGGTATTGATGGATTTGCTGCAGATGGAACGCAGGAGTTGGGATTCATAATAGAAGAGGAACCCTAAAGAGGTGAAATTGAGGTGAATCTGTGATGCTAATAATGTCCCTTCATCCATTGGATTCTTTCTGTTGTGAAGGAAGATGTTGCCGAAAACGAGTGCGAGAGAGACCGAAGCCCAAATCATAAGACTTACCCTTCCCAAGATGACAATTACAGTTATATCCCCAAGACGATAACCATCCAAAATTCCAGATTCCGCACTTATGAAATGATTCCATCAAAATCCAAACAAGATTAATTGGACAACTAAGAAAGATTAACAGCTTAAACCTTCAAATATATTTTACAATAAAGAAAGATAAAATTACAAACCATAATAAAGACAAGAGAAGGCTGACAATTTTAGACAAGCCAATGCCAGCCATGACAACAACTTCAAACCCAAAAAGCACTTATTAAGGAAACATTAAATCAGAAGCTCTAAAACATTAACTCTGCAACTAGCTTCTTCTTTGAACAAGTCTTCTGGCTTTCCTCATCTTCCTTCCACTTTGACTTGGTCGGCCATCAAACAAAGACACAAACCATTTTGGTTTTCCTGTTCCGAAGACAAGATATCCCATCAGCAGTCCAAAAACAACTCCACATCCATAGCCTAATACCACAACTCTCCACCCAAATCTCCACAACTCATCTTTTTCTTGGAAGAAGCTCGGTGGTGTCCCAATTCCATCACAAGATTTTGACAATGGGATTCCACAAAGTCCAATGTTTCCTTCATAAGAACCATTTCCAAAGGTGTTGAACTGATTGCCCTGTGGTATGCGTCCGACAAGATGATTATTTGAAAGATTCAATACAGAAAGTTGTGTCAAAGACACCAATTCATCTGGAATTTTCCCCGCTAGCTCGTTGGAAGAGAGATCCAACCATTCCAGATTCGTCAAATTCCCTAGTGATGGTGGGATATGACCAGTAAGGTTGTTATGAGAAAGATTAAGCCCTTTGAGAGAACTAAGCTTTCCAATAACATCTGGAATTTCTCCCTCAAACTTGTTATTTGAAAGATGAATACTACTGAATATCGTCAAGATTTTCTGCAGCTCATAGTCGAATCCCTTCCATGTTACAACCACTGAATATTGATAAGAATTGGTTCTCGTCGACACCATCATGTATTCAGGGGAACCACCATCTTTATGAGGGTCCATCATCGCATTAAAATTTTCAATGTACCGAACAGGCAAAGCACCAACAAAATAATTGCTGGAGAGGTCCAGAACTCGCAACTTGGGAAAAGATGGACTTTCTTTCGTGCTCTGCACAGAACCATGGAACTTGTTGGACCTTAAGACAAGCACTTGAAGGTGTGGTAGAGATTCCAACCAATGAGGGAATGTATCACTTATGTTGTTGTTGCCAACGTCTAGAACCTCTAACATGCGACAAGTCACCAAAGACCTTGGTAATAAGCCGTCCATTTGATTTCCATGTAAGTTGAGATTTCGTAATCCACAGCCCTCTGGAAACCCAAATGCTATATTTCCATCAAAGCAATTGGCCTGCAAATTCAACACTGAGAGAGACTTAGGAAGACAATTTGGAATCTTCCCGGTTAAGTTGTTATGAGAAAGGTCAAGAATTTCAAGATTTTGAAGCGCCGAGAACATGTCAGGCACTACAAAATCACTAAAATGATTTGATGATAAATTGAGATAACTAAGATTTACTAAATTAGCAATTGAGTTAGGAATTGAGCCCTGGAGTTTATTGTTTGACAAATCTAGGTGTGTGAGTGGGTTTTGCCAGAATTGATTTATTTGACCTTGAAATTGGTTATGATTGAGATACAAGTACTCTAACAAAGGTAGGGTGAAAATCCAAGGTGGCAATGTGCCATTAAGTAAGTTATAAGAAAGGTGAAGAGTGGTAAGTTGGGTGAGGTTTGCAAGTGATGATGGGATTTGTCCACTAAGATTGTTAGAATAGAGGTATAGCCTAGTGAGTTGCCTTAAGTTACCTATGGAAGCTGGAATGGGACCAGAAAACTGATTATTGGAAAGGGAAAGATAGGTAAGTTGGGTGAGGTTTGCGAGTGATGATGGGATTTGTTTGCTAAGATTGTTAGAATAGAGTTCTAGGCTAGTAAGTTGCCTTAAGTTACCTATGGAAGCTGGAATGGGACCAGAAAACTGATTATATGAAAGGTCAAGAGAGGTAAGTTGGGTGAGGTTTGCAAGTGATGATGGGATTTGTTCGCTAAGATTGTTAGAATAAAGGTGTAGGCTTGTAAGTTGCCTTAAGTTACATATGGAAGCTAGAATGGGACCAGAAAACTGATTATTGGCAAGGTAAAGAGAGGTAAGTTGTGTGAGGTTTGCAAGTGATGTTGGAATGGAACCAGAAAACTGATTACCTGAAAAGTCAAGAAAGGTAAGCTGGGTAAGGTTTGCAAGTGATGATGGGATTTGTTGGCTAAGATTGTTAGAATGAAGGTATAGGCTAGTAAGTTGCCTTAAGTTACATATGGAAGCTAGAATGGGACCAGAAAACTGATTATTGGAAAGGTCAAGATAGGTAAGTTGTGTGAGGTTTGCAAGTGATGGTGGGATTTGTCCGTTAAAATTGTTAGAAAAGAGGCTTAGGTCAGTTAGTTGAGATAAGTTCCCTATGGAAGCTGGAATGGAACCTTCCAAGTTGCAGCCAAGACCCAGAGACTTTAATGACTTTAGATCTCCTATAGACTCTCGCAATTGCCTTTCGCAATCCATATCATCTAAATACAACTGTTGGAGAGGACTGCTCCAATTGGAACTTGGAAGATCAATAGTGAGGTTTCGGTTTCCACTTAAATAAAAATTCTTGAGATTTGGAAAGTGGAAAATACTATTTGGAAAGTTTCCTCTTAACCCACTCTCGATAAGATCAAGAGTAGTCAATGAAGAAGAGAGATTCATGAAGAGACGAGGATTAACAGATGTCATGTTCACTCCACTAAGCACAAGTTCTCTCACCTCACTCAAGTTATGAACAAGATTTTTGAAGGTAGTTGTTTCAAGGATCAAGTTGCAATAATCACTAGAGAGATCGAGAGAAACTAACTTGCGGAGGTGAGCAATTTCTGCTGGAACTTGGCCCGAAAATCCAGAATCAGAGATATCAAGATGCTTTAGTCTAGTAAACTGACTAATTTCCGATGGAATCTTGGAAAGCCTAAAATCATTCAAGGCAAGATTGAGGCTCTGCAAGTTTCTGAGGGAGAAAAGAGTGCTGTTGGAAGGAAAGGTGCCATAAAGGAAACTGCAGCTGAGATTAAGGGCAATTACATGGCCTGTGACATTATCACAACTAACCCCATCCCAGGAACAACAGTCTATACCTTCCTTCCATGACTCAATCTTAGAATAATTAGGTTTAGTATAAAACCAATCCACACAATAATCTGGATAATATGGAAACGGAACAGTGTAATTGATGGAGAAGGATGTCTTGAATTGCAGCAAAGAAAGAGCCTCCTCATGAGAGCAGAGATGCGTTGTTGAGAAGGAAGAAGCATGTATAGAGGATGAGAAGGCAGTTTTAAGAAAGAGGAAGACGAAAAGGAGGCAGAGTGGCGCAGAGAGCTTTGGGAAGATCCTCATATCTTCGTTTGGCGCAATAGAGTACTCAAGAAGAGTACATATAGAGTGTTTAAAATTGACGTATGGTAATAATGGAATATAATGTAATATTGATCTACGGTAGATGTCATTTTGGAATCTACATTTCCGACTCCTCTCTTATTTTTCTACTTTGAAATTAGATGGAGTAATTAAGGATTACAATCACATTATTAATATGACTTTAATTAGTAAACTAATCTTAATAAGAAATTTTACTTTTGTCATGACATGATGTAAGAAGATATTTCTTTTATTTAAAAATTAAAATTAATAATTGAAAAAGATTATTTACTTGCATTTCTTAATATATATACATATATATAACAAATATTACTAGATAAATATTAATATCAAAAGATTGTTTAATATAATTTAAAATCACTTACTCTAAATGGTGTGAGTAGAACACATACTATAATCACTTATTGCAATTCTTATTCTAAACTTTATGTACTTGTTAATTTCTTACATTTTTATTTTTCTAGAATGAGTCTGAATAATTAATAAAAAGGATAATGATGCACTTTATATACGAAAGAATGAAAAGGTTATAAACAAAATTGACAAAAAAAACTTAATTGAGTTTGAGTCATGGCACTATGATTTCAATTCAAAATTTAGAAATTGGTTCATAGTTTGATTGGACACTCTTCCACTCTTGCATTACATATACATCATTTTTGTTGCATGTCAATTTTCACATGTACTTTATGTTGGAAATCTTTATGTGGGCTGCCACTAATTGTATTTGGTTTTCAAAATTGGATCAAATGAAAAAAATCGATAAAATCCAATAAAGTGATGTAATCCAAGTGAGCTTAAGTTTTATCTTAGTTTGATATGGTGTGATATGAATACTTGTATGACCTAGAATTAAAGGTGGGCTACTTAATGAAGTGCCCAAAAATTATTATAATGGGTTACATTCCCTCTCCCATTTAAAAAACCCCACCTCATAAAAGAGTTAGGGAATGACATGATCCATCGGTTATCACTATATAGAAGTTGATTATAAGGGATTATTAAAAGAAAATCTCTAATATAGTCCCTTAATGGTTTTATTCATTGTAACTATGTCTCTAAAGTTTTAAATTAATATTGGATAGTCATAAAGTAAGAGTTCAACCATATAAAATAAGTAAAATTTAAATATAAAGGGAAAATTTAGTATATAAGAATAATTAGTATTTAATTCCTTTATTTTCTCAAGAGTGTTTAAAATAATCCCCATTAATAATGATGTGATATGGAGGTGAATTTAATTGAATCTTTTTTT